AATATTTTTGCCGTTTTTTACTACATTTGCAGGTTGATCGCATTTATTTAGATCATTAGAGCTGATAAATTGTTATTTTGCAAATCTAAGGTAAATACTAAAAACAGTTGCTCTCAGTAACATTTAGAGGGTGTGTCTTTTTTGCGTAAAAATGATGAAAAAATTAATATTTTTAATAAAAACTTCAATATACAAAGTTTCTTGCAAAGCTATTGGTTGAAAATAAAGTAGAAACATCAAAAACTAATTATCATTTAGACACCCTGTGTCTCAGTTATTACAAACTTTTGGCAAATATTAGTATTTCTATCCAAGGAATGTGCGGTTTTAATGTGTACCATTAATGGTGATACAGCACACAAGAACATTTACGATAATAAATTGAAAAAATGCCTGCACCCTTCTGCTATGCATACGGGATCCGCTTTAACTTTAACGGTCGACTGAATTTTTAAAATCCGCAAAAAACGTTCATATCCAGCTCATATTTTTCGCAGCTTAAGGTTTTATTATAAAATAAGGTAATGGATATTTTTAAAGGTTTATAAGAAACGTTAGTTTTTATAACCGTTGCTATAATTTTAGAAGTATAAATAATGCAATTTTTGACATCCAATAAATACGAAAACACTTGAAGTTTTACAATATTGGTGTTTTTTACTTTGCGTTTTTTTAATTGCATATCATGCAATAATTGCGGTAAACGGCATTTGACTCACTAGTTTATTTGATACGAGTGGAGCACTTAAAAAGTTTACCGAACGTATTGCATGCTATACTTTTTCTACGACCGTTAGTTTTTGCGTATATTTTCGTAAAATAACCCGAATCCATTCACTGACATGACCGTCAGAACTGACAAACGTAAAAATTCAAGGCGTGGGAAAATCCCGGAAATGTCCGAAGTGGTTCGAATCCGTGAGAAACGAAACTGACGTGGTAAAGTGACGCTTCCTGCACGCTAGATCGGTGTGTAATTAGGCATTTTACAGACGGGAGTACAAAAAACAGATTCATAGCGTTCTTAGAAACGTTATTATAACACTTTTACTCTTGAGACTTACTATTAATATACATACAGCAACTACTTTCGGTTGCACAATTTTAAAAGGACATATTTAGTTTAAGTGTAAACTTCATCTGAATACTTATAAAAAACTAAATACACTCTTTTCAAGAACAAATAAATATACAACTGAAAAGTGAGGTTATGATTCCATAATGACATTCTTGAACTTATTGAGGCACATACGGAGCGCAGCCTAGTGTTCAGTAAACGAGTTTATACATTTGTTGCGTACTATACTTTTTCTCCTACCATTAATATTTGGGTAGAAAAACTATATTAAAAACATTTATTCAATTATAATTTTAGGAGCAATTTTCAAAACACAACCATTTTTTGTGTGTTTTTGGGGGAAAATGGCGCGTCACTGCCTTTTTCGAAATAAATATCGTGTGTGGTTCTAGTTTCTGCGTATATCGCCGGCGCCGGATGATTGAAATGTGATCTTGTAATTTACCTCGCAAACCGGCGAAATAACGTCTTAATAAAACCCTGAATATACAATTCCCATACAAGGCCAAACTATTTAGTTCTGCGTGACAACGCCAGATCGGGTTTGCGTTTTGCGCTTTTCAAATTGAATTTTGCTTCCAAATGCTGTATCTCCAGTTTTATTCGTATTATATTATTTAAGTGAAGCAAGATTGGTATCGGACGTAGTGCTAGGAGCTTTGAACTTTCTGTTGACCATTTTAGAAACGATATTATGGTATATCCGTAACATCTTATTTGGAAAACAATTTAATAAGTTCGGGAAATTTCGCTAATTCTTGGTCAAGCGTTATCAGAGATAAAATTTGATAAAAGGCGGGCAGAAATCGCTAGACGTCGGTAATAGTACTATAATACCTTTCGTTTTTTTTCGACTCAAACGTCACCGAAACTATCTAACCAGCATGCAATTCGCTATTAAACAAGGCAAATATATTTGTGAAGAGTTTGTGAGATATACCTCCATACTATTTTTTTGCTATTTTCTCCAAAGGCAAAAATACCGGAAACTATATAGACGTGAAAATTGTTAATAAAATTTTATTGTTTTTTGAGATATAACAACAGACATTAATGTTAAATTAATTAATTAATTTTTAAATCGTTAAATTTCCCGTAAACAACACCGCGGTATGCATATAACCATAAGGTTGGCGCAAATTTTAGTTCTTTTCCTGTAAACAACACCGCAGTATGCACATAACCATACGGTTGGCGCAAATTTTAGTTCTTATGTTCTGCAGTCCGGCCTTTATTCTGTGAGGGATCGTGTGAGTGGCATTTGGCTGGCAGGCCGTTCTTCGTCAGCTCACTGTACTGCTTTTCGTCAAAATCCTGTTTTGAGTGTTGTACGGCTGTTTTCTTTATCCACGCCGGTTGGAGACCGAATCTATATGGATACGGAAATTGTGCGTTGTGCGTGATCTGAAATTTCCTCTACGGATGTCGGTAATGGGCAAGTGTCGTTAGTTGATGTGCCCAACGTTGAAAAAGTCAAGAAGAAGAGTATGTGAGCAACAGTTGCGATTTTTGACATTCCAAAGAAGCATATGATCGTTATCGATTGTGCTATTTGGTGTTTATCTTAGTGGGATTTAGTAGAAGAATGAATTATGTTTAGTTTCTTATAGTCAAATAATACAGTACATAGTAATATAATTTTAGAAATTTCAATGTCAATAAAAATCCCAGGGATTGACAAATTTCTACCGAATTCTTATCCCACGGGCGCATCTATTTGTTTCCCGCGTCACGTTTGTTAATAGAAAAAATGAAACACGTGTTCGGGTTTATAGTACAGACGCCATTATTCGGAAAACAGCTGGGTGCGGTGTAACGCGATCTTACTTCTTTAAGCCGACGATTAAACGAAAAACGAAAATCCTAATACCACATCAATTATCCACAATTTATTGCATTTCTAGTAAATAGTAGCGCTACCTACATGCGTACGCGTATAATCTTACGCATTAAAAACGGAATTATCGATCTTTAAAAACTGCGTCCGACACTAGAAACTAGGTAGAGAACGTATAAGTTTATTGTCGTAAACATAGCCCGTACTTAAAGAACTTCTAAATATAAAAGCAGAGTTTGTCCTACATTTTTGCAGTAAACATTCAGTGGCAATAATTCCGTACACCTGGAATAAAGTACCCGAGGAACAAATTGTACCCGATAAACAGCTGCCAATATAATCAGCAAATGTAAGACGAAAGCTTTATCGCATATCCGTCTCGTCGAAATGGTTAAGAGTTACGCTTTTCTCTCATATTCACAAATAACAAATTCAAGGAATGTATTAAATGCATTGAACTTAGTTTTCCATTCCATTCTAAACAATAGCTCGTAAACATCTTTGATGTTATGACTTGAGTTGTTCAATACTAAAGTAATTACGAAAAAGATCAGTTTTTTTTTCAAGGAAACTTCCACAGCTTACTGTAATACTATTTGCACATCTCGTCGAATTCGCTGTTTTGGCCAATCATCCTCTTGCCTCCTTGATAGTTTAACTGAAACTGGTCCAGTTTTGATTTATCAACAACTAACGCAGAAGGAACGCAGTTGGTTTGTAAATAGTGAGATCAGCTTTTGTAAGTTCTGGTTAGTTCAATTAGAATTAAATTTAGCCGATGGTTTCCATGTTTAGATCTTGTACTGTTCCATACCTGATAACAGTGATAACGAAGGATAACCAACGTCTGCAGAGTTAAGATCAATATAAAACCCTTTAGTAGCTTGAGTAGAGGTTGACGTAAAATTTGCAGGAGTATTCGAATAGCGATGATATCTTCAGGTCAGAAGAAGTTCTCATGACCTGAGTGCAAGAAGTAATCGCAGGTTTATTTAAAAATAGACATCTATCCGTTGTATGCGTCAATACTGAAGAAGTAATCAGGAATATGTGTTCCTACTCACCGCAATAAACCAATTCAGCCAAACACGGTTAAAAAAAAAGTGAATAGCAATATTCTGTTTACAATCACAATTAATTTATTTTTTGGATGCGTCTTTCCTTAAGCAAGTGGGCTTCGCCAGTAGATGATGTTAACAATGTCTATACTAGCTTAGTTAAACTCAGCTTACATCGTTAGCTGAAGAGCGTGTTCAGATTGTATTCGTTGTTGTGTAGTGGTGGCTATAGGCTCAGACTTTTCTATTCGTATTACCCCGCTAACCAAGCTAAGCACAACACCAGCAGATGTTTTAAAACTTACTAGTACGTAATTACATACTGAAATGGGCATAAAATTGGCTTCCATAGGTTTGTAGTTCAGCACAGTTATTGTAAACAGGTTCTATCGATAGCGCGTTAGGAAAAATGATGGGTTATAGAAGGAACAACGTTTCCGAATCATAAAAATGCGTAGTCTGGTACACATCAAGCGCCAGCTTATCATCAACGTCGATCTCGAACGGCCATAAAATTTAATAACAAATGCCCCCGCGGTTCCAGCATACCTAATGACTTTATTATTTTTAACGTTACATCCTTAACTTAATTGGATAAACGGCCGAAACAATGTAAGCCTAGACGAAGTTGTTACGTCTGCACAACCCGATAGTTTTGATTTTCTATTAATCCAGGAGATTAAATCTGTTCGGCGCGGTGGCCACTTATTTGTTATATCATTTTCCATTTATTATGTTAATACCGCTTGGGGCTTCGCTGCCGGCTATTTCAATTTGTCCAGTACGTATCATAATTGGCTACAAACTGCAGACCGATGTGAAATTTACTTTAGTTTCGGATTGGTCCAAGTCGCAAGAGAATAATGATGGCGAATCGTCGGATGAAATTTCACGAGCCAGTTCCCACCCGAATATCTACGGTACGACCATAACTCAAAGCGAAACATCGTCGAGCGGAGTCCATAATGCAGCGCAGTGCCTTACGTACCGCGAAGCGCGGAATTTATGTTTATACCATTCGACTCACCTAAAACACTGAGGCTGAGACCGCTTCCTGGTCGGTTCTTCTGCGTCTCGCTGGTCATCGCGTCTATTTCAACATTTAAAGTTTCATCGTGGCAGACAAGCACTGCCACGGCGTTCACTGAACCGTACGTACGTATACACTTCACTCGGTTCTCAACACTTGCCACCACATATATACGAGTTCTTCGCTGCGGTTGTTTACTTTTTTTGCGGGTTACGGTAGGTTAAGTCGGCAGGTAGATCGGTTACGAAGAGGGTACCACCCAGGTCCCCTAACGACCGAGGTTACAACGGCCACCTAAAATTAGTACTGTTAGTTGACCGTGTCATTCCTTCGCTTTATGGTACCGTCTGTGAATTAAATGAACACTTCTGTGTGGAATAAACGCCCCATTAGAAAACCAAAACATAATTATTTGTTATTTTCGTTCATGCCTTTGAGTAAAAAGAAATGACGGAGGAAAACTACATTTACCTCGACCAAGAGACCTGGTCGCATTATACTGCGCAAGGAGCCTAGCCTAGCCTGCAGCCGAAGCTTTCAGACAGTACTGAAAAGTAAACCTTGGAATATTTACGTCAGATTACATGTCCCTGATGCAATTTTGGACTCAGATCTAGGTCTGAATAGGAAGAAACCTAATTCAGAAAGGCTGGAATAGCGGTAGATCTGGTCCAGTTCATATAACAGATTTAAGAGTCGTAGTGGGTTTTGAAGAGATAACCAGCATAGTCACCGAAGCTGGAATTATCAAAAGATATCAATGTCAATGCCATGATCGAAAATGTTGGGTGAAAATTTTGCGTAAGGCAAGGTCCAGCAGTTTGCTAACCATCGAAGCAAAATCTTGTTTCGAGTACGTCCTGCAAAATCTATTGTTTGCACGCGATCTAGATGAACGATGCAGCTGACGTTGTGCAAAGTTTCAGCAAATACAAAAGCAATGGAAGTTCGAAATCCTAGTGTCGATAAGCAACTACCTTCAAAGAAATCTCATGGGATGTTTTGAGTTTGACCAGGAGAAAATTTTATAAAAGGATCGGTTGTCCAACTGACGTCGAGTGTCCATCAAATGAAATCAAGTGAGTTTAGATCACCTTGGTCGCGCCCTGGACGGAATGTAAAAAAATAAAAGAAAGAAGGCTTGCACGAACATAATTATCTGTTAATAGTTAGGTTGGCAGTGTCAGAGTGTCGTTTGAATTCTCCCCATTCAGTTCACAGACTAGCATTTTATTGTGCAGCGGGCATTCTTCGGGATCCGTTTTTGTTTCTTTTGTGAAAGCTTCCGTAAGTTATTTATGGGAAAGCGTGCTTCAGTTTTTTTTTCGTCGTCGCGTTTTACAACATGCTTCGCTGCTGTTAATTTAGATATATGTTAATATTCAAATTAGGTTCGAGTCGAGTGAATGGAAATATGGTTAGAGAGCGGTATGGCCGCTAATTGGTTTTCTTGTTTTTCGGCGTTAATTTTTCCTGTAAGCGCGTTTAATTGCGGTGATATAATGGTTAATACAGACACCGGTAATATTTTGACAGGGTGTTATTATACTATTACAACGTGTAATAGGAAAATTATAATGATCGATCATTTTATCGAGGTTTGCATTTATATTGTCTATTCCCTTTTTTTTTGTTCCATTAAAGTAGCGCCCGTAATTCTAAAATTACGGCAATACGTTGCAGTTGCAAAATGTCTACAATCAGGAGGCACATGTTTAGTAGTTCAAAAACGTTTTAATAGGTTTTTGTACTTTGATTCATTCATAGTTAAATTAATGTAAAACTTCGAATTCATAAATCAAAGCTGGAACGCAAAGCCGACAAGTTGGTTGCTTTCTTTACATTATGGCTGTTATTATCTCGAAAAATTCTAATAATGCTCCCATTGTTCCCTTACTGACCATTCATAAAATGTTAGTACCTGTCCTGTAGGGCTTGTTAAAGCAAGTTCAGAAATTGGGTTTGCCAAAACTTTGAATTGAAAAATATCATCAATGCAGCCCGTTTTATTTTGAACGCTAGCATACACAGGAAATGTATGCTCAGCTTCCTCTCGCATTGGCTAATAATTCACCAATCTCGTGTAATTCCATTCATTATCTTGTTATAATTAAAGCTTGGCTTGCCGATAACCTCTAGCCCATCTAATCCATTGTAAGTTTCAAGGATTTCGGCGAGTAGAAAAATTCAAACCGAGGCGCCAAACCAAATAATTTTTATCATCGATTATCGACATATCGGCGGCGGCTTATCGTGAAACACTTATCTTATCCAAATATTTGTGCGCGGCGCTAGCGCCTAAAAATATTGACACACGTCACGGAAAACGTGTTTCCCGAATAACAATCGCCTATTTATATAAAGAAGAAACATCGGCTTCCCATAAATCCTCGAAAAAAGCATTAACTGGTCGTTAAACGCTCACAAATCGCACCCGCTCCTTAAATCTGTCACGAGAATGTTCCCATTAAAGGGAAACAATATTCCTTACACGTGGACGTCTTAATTTACGATGTTCCTGCAGATCTAACTGGACATATATCGGAGGAATAATATATAAAAGTGTCACACCAACCAGAAAATGATTCCAATGAGACACTATATGGACAACGATATAGAAGAGAAGCACCATAGATCAAGTGCTCTTGGATTTGGTCTTCTTCATACTTCTATCCGTGTGCCAGTTTTCTTACGCTTAAGCGTATAAAATGTTTATCATGGTAAGACGTTCGAGACCACAATACGTCCGATTGATGATGATTCTGATGATATGATCTTCATAGAACTTTGAACATAATATCAGAAGATGTAGTCAAACTGTTTAGGTAAGAAAGAAATCATTCCAATAGAAAAGAAAAAAAATCGTCTTCATTCTACTGTTTTGTCAGTTACAGTCGCAAACGTGCAAGTTCAGAATACAACCAATGAGATGACCTTAACCCAAGACGGACGCACTCACTGTTGGCCAATGTGCGCCAATTTCTAGACGACTTTCATTCTGAAAACACAACGTTCCTTGTGATCTTGTTAGAACTGGTAAATGAAATTATGGGCACTGATTTGCTTAATCATTTGGTCAAATGATCAATAATCGTCGATATAAATTCACCATCTCTACTACACAAACTATTTAATTTTATGGTCTTATACAACCAGTTAACGAAGACCAAAACTTGAATTGGAAGAATATGGGTTAAGTGTCCTTAATCTTCAGTACTTTAACGAAGTACTGAAGGCACTATCTTAGGAACACCATAAACCGTCATGCTTCATTATGGCGGTCAACGCTCATAACAAAAGTGGAGCAGGTGCAACGCGGCGCTTAAACGCGTAACTTCTGGAAATCTTACTTCAAGCCGCTGTCCATCCCCTTGGGCGTTCTGTATCCGAAAAACACTTCGAAACACTATAAGTTGCACCACTTAAGAGAGCAACGGCACTAAAATCGCAGACGCGGTAAAATTTGCGTCCGGGCGTCGCGATTCGTCAGATAAGTCACACGAGCTGAGCTCCGGTGTGCTTGGCGGCGTATCCAATCGTCGACTGGTTTAGCGTTCGTCAAGTGCCGAGTACCGAGGCGAGACGGAATAGTTGTGGGGCTTCGGACCGTATTTCGTTCGTGCGACGGTAAAAACTCTAGATTATCATCTCTCTCTTTCTCTCTACGTCCAACTATAGTGAGCTCCTAGCCGGCGTTAATGACACGAAGGAAAGGTAAAAGAACACCTAATGCGTCTTTTGTTACCGCGGTATCGGGTGTCAAAAAAATTGGTTCGATAAATGAAAGGTAGAACAGGTCGATTTCTAGGCGGAATGTAAGAGGATCCATCAAAATTCAGCCAATCGCCGCCGTCAGGATAAGCCTGTCGTTTGTCTCAAATAAAGCTTATCGACTTTTACAAGGTGATCCAACCCTTTTTGAGGAATCTAAGACGAGGAATGTTTAGGAAGATCTCACCAATAACAGTTGTACAGTTGTACAACTAACTAACTCTACAGCTAGATCCCGTTTGAAAATTCCACTTAGTGATTCAACATTTCCGGAAAAATTGGTTGTTGGAAAAAAACCGGGTTTTTTCCCGGAAAAATTGGAAAAAGCGGAAAATTTGGGAAAAATTGAATTTGTGTTGGAAACGAAATCCAAAAGCATTTTAATATCCTGGCAGGTTAACGTGTTAAATATTATTTAATACCATTATTTTCAAACATATTTTAAAAAATAAGTGCAGTGTAACACTGACAACTTGTTTACCGGTTGAGTCCGATAAATCCCTATTATCAGAAGTACCTTTTATTTTTAAGTTGATAGAAGATGCAATATATGGTATTCCCGCAAATACTGATGGCCTGTCCTGCCTGACTAGAGAAAACCTATTAAAATGTGTAAAAGAGCGCTTCGAATTTTGTTGTAAACCTATTCATTTTGCAGCAAATCTTCTTGATTCCCATTTTAAGTGGAAGCAATTAAATGAAGAACCAAGTTATATTGGCAATTGATTTTATTTCGCAAATGTCTCAATTATTACGTTTAAATACAGGAGAAGTAATGGCAAATTTAGCCCACTTCAGAACTGAAACGGGAGTTTTTAGTAGGAATTCTTTATGGGAATCTGCGAGTAGTACCCATCCAGTTATATGGTGGCAGGGGTTGTGTACCTCGGAGCCACTTATGCCAATTACTTCCAGAATTTTACATGGACCTCCATCGTCCGCTTCGTCAGAAAGAAACTGGTCTTTGCATGGTGTTATTCATACTAAAAAAAGAAATAGACTGACACAAGATAAGGTACAAACACTTGTTGCAATTCAGTCTATCTTAAATTTAGAAGAAAATGACAAATTTGCCTACGATTTTAGGCCAGTAGATATCGAATTAACTGGGAATATCCAGGACGGCGATGCTGCGGAATCAGAATCAGATTCTTTCTCTGAAGACTCGGACCTTGACGATGAAACCCCTTTAAGTGTGCTGCAGAAATGACGTTTTTTAACTTGCATTTTGCTTGCGTTGTCAGTTATTCTTCTTATTTTCTTATTATATTGTATACAAAGAGTTCTTATTTTATTTTTTTTATTATTTTGAAATAAAGTAGGCATCTCAATTTTTTTTTTATTGAAGCAACAATATACATTTATAATATATTCACTCGTTTAGCTGCCTGACATTTAATTTAAAAAAAGTCAAATTTTCCGTTTTTTCCAATTTTTCCGAGGTTTGGGAAAAAAACGGAAAAAACCCGTGTTTTTTTCCAAATTTTCCGTTTTTTTTCCTAACCGTTCCACTACACTAATTCCACTACATGGAAAAGAAAGAGACGATGGACAAAAAAAAAAGATGTACATATAAACATGACTTTTGGAAGTGGTTTTAAATATTAATTCTTGAATTAGTTCAATCGGATAAAGGAGCGTTGAGGTTTTTTTGTGAAAAGTGTAGTGATATTGATGATGGTTCTAAATCTAGAAATAACAGTTTCTCGATTTTTTTTTGGAGTAAATTAAAGTAAAAAGTTACGAAATTCTGCAAGATACCTTTTTATTTGAAAACTGTTCTTCTAGATGGTACAACAGATTACTAGAATGGGCTGTATCGACTATGACCAAATTCAAGGTAATTCCAATTACCAGCAATTATGTGTAAAAATTTCGACTTATCTTTAGCGATTGATTTAAATACTAAATTAATTATTTGATGAATTTCTTAATAGAATTGATCACAGTAATTGATTTCAGTATTCTCTTTTCGGATTTTATGCCAGGCGAAAGGAGAGTATAGTGTAATGTTATCTGACAACACGTAAAAAGGTAAAAGAATACGATCCACATGCTTTCGAGTCATTTTAGCCAACGGTATTCTGTGTCATCAAACGTTTAGTTTTTCAGGTAATGCAATCCTTTGAAAACCCAAGAATTTTTACGGATGTTTCGTGCTAGGTGTGATATCCATCGGTATGTATAAACGTTTATTTTTGTAAAAATTTAGAATGCAATGCCGCGCGTCAGATTGTCGCAAGAAGGGCGATCTCTCAAATACTTGAACTAAAATAACTACCTAAAAATACGACAGACATCGCTGAGGCGTTTGCCCCTGAATAATTAAGATTGTCTTTTCAAGCTGTGTATACTTTATAGCATGTACCTATAAAAAGATGCGGACGCATTGCTATCGTTTCTGTCTTGAAATTGAGTCATTATTTTCGACATAATACGCAATCATATTTTAAAGATTCTAATCTTAACGTTAATCTACAAATCTCACTTCAACGAAGACCAATACACACAGAATCTCGGGTAAGGGTTGCTTAATTCCCAGCTTTGCGGGCGGTATGACAAACGGTTTCTAATACCAACCCTCGTTCGGTCTGACCGACGTTCTTCGAAGAAGTATACCCATCCCGGAAGGAGCACACTTAAGAGAATATTTATTGGTCACCAACTTGGGCAGTACTGGCATGAGTACGCGGAGAACTACCTGGATTTTATCATTTTGAACTTCGAGGTGTTACATTTATCACTTTACCGCTAATTTATAGTGTCATAAAACGCCGGTATCTAGTGTTGTGAATGCTATGAAATTTGTTTACTCGAATTTATTAAGGTAATATCGCCTTTCCAAAACTCCCAGCCTGTCCAACAATACGATTTCATTTATCTACGCGTACAATCAGAAACGTTATCTAAATTTTTAACACGGCCACTGACACGGGTATTAGTTGTTTGCGTTATTACCGACCAAACACTTATTGTCCATTAGAATTCGGTTAGGAGGATCTTGTTTAGTAGAAAATAAAGTACAGTAGGAATTGATTTACTATCGGAATATGAACAAATACATTTAGATTGTTTTATACTTAGTATTGTATGTCGGATATTGTGAAGCTCTGTATGTTGGATTGTATTGTATAAGTTCCCATAAAATCCCATGAAAAGAAGGTTGGACGAAAAGAGATTATTGATCACTTCTTGATTTTGATTTTGCGTCTGCGAGGTGATTTGAATTTTAAATTAAACATTAGACATTTGTCAAAAAGACGACTATGGTTTCATGCTTTTTAGTGCTTGTAGTAAACTGCTGGTCTGATACTACTCTTACAGGTAATAAATTTGACAGAAAGCTGGAAGCTGTGACATTTCTATTGCTTAAAAGACGAAGTCTAGCCCGATTAGGAACTGAGTTGGTTGGTTAGCATTTCGGATATTATGTTGTTTGGCTATTTTGATTAGATTAGAACTCTTATCAATGATTTGTTAATTTAAGTCACTACTCTTTTGACGCATTATATCGATATGCATTTCTGAAGCGCAGTTTCTTCTACTGCTGCTACTTTAGGCAAGAATCTAACGAAATTGATCCTGTTGTGGAAAATATTTGTTTTGTGTTTATTGCGATACACCTAACAAAAGGTAGAGAATTCATACTAAAATACAAAAAAAAAAATAACAACGCAAATACATACGTTGATAAAATGCGACAAAATACCAGCGATACTCGCTAACGTAGATAATGGAGTATTTTCTCCAAGCTATTAAAAGTAGTGCAAAAAATACTTTTTCCCCTTTATGTACCGCGTCCTCAACAAAGGTTGAGGACCAATAAGGCAATTCCAACTACCTAAGCTGGTGTTTGAAATAATTCGTTTGAATTTATTCAAACCAGTGTTCTTGTATTCTTTAATTAGGAATCTCTTCTAAATCCAGACCCCCAGCTGTTAATTTAATGTACCTTGCATTGTAATTGTAATAATCCGTATTTGTTTACGCGTGATTTGTCACAGTACTCAATTTTTCTTTCTTGGTGGTATACAGAAGTTCTGTTTGAGTATACATTCTGCGCAGTACATCTTCGTGTCGTATCTGTCGACCCCACAACATTCGTATCATGCCAAATCTCTTTTGGAAAAATTACTAACCAAACTAAACTAACCTAAAAATTACACGGTTCATCAAAAATGCACATGCACACAGGCTCAATCATACTTATGCAGCAAGTGATATCACTTGGTGGTGTGTTTGGTGTTGTTATCCAATTTGCAGAATGATTAAATTTGTTTGGTTTGAATAGCTCCAAGCACTGTTAAAAGATTTTGATCTGGTCAACATGTGCATTGCCATCATGATCATGCAGGCGTAATCCAGACAAAGTCCGGGTCTCTTAGTAATTGATTTTATCGAACCGTTTGAATTATTATTTCGCCGCCTCCGCCATTTTGTAAATTTAATATTCCGCAAACCAACGTTAATCTCACCGACACAAATATTTGTGCCGATCCTAGAGCTCGTCTATTAGTAATAAATTTTTTCGAAGGTCGCGTTAGTCAACTCGTATGCAAAAACGGCGAGTTCTACTCCAGAAACAATAAGGCTGCTCGCCCACCTTTTGAACTCGGGCTGCACGCCTGTCGTCTCGTTTTAATTTCGAATCAAAAGGAAGTGAATCCTACGTAGAACGTCGTTTGTAAACGTAGACTGAATATAATAATAACAGTACATGGCATCGGACGGGCACGGGCTTGTTTCCAGTTTGTAGTACGGAATATTTGGGGAAATGCGAACGATGCGAAACGCAACGAAATTTG